CTTAGCTAAAGCTCACTTTGCAAAACCCATACCCCAAAACCCTCCAACCTGCAAGCCTTCAGAAATGCCGCCTTCCCCTCTCAAGGGACCGAGGCAGGAGCATGGTGCATGTCGCACCATGCGGCCGTTTGGGATATATACATATACATATACACATATATACATATATCCATATATACATATATACATATATACATATATACATATACACATATATACATATATACATATATGTATCTTTGTAAGACAACGTGCTAAGATCATGGATGCTCTAGACCCTGAAGACGTCGGCTTGCGCTGGCTGCTGGTCAGTTCAGCAGCTTTCGTCCTGCTGCTGCGTCTCCTGGGTGAGGGCCCACCGCACGCAAGCCTCAGGCCTTTCTGGGGGGTTCGCTTCGATGAGCTGAACGACTGTCACATGGGATGGTGCCTGCACAGGGCGCATGGACTAGGGGCGTTACTGCGTATGGCCATGCTGTTCGAGGATGGTCGTGGAGGTCTGCCGTGGTTGGCTCTGCGCGACAGTTTTCGAATTTTGCAAGCGCAGTGGCTCGGAGTGCCACGTGAGCGCAAAGCAACAGATATCCTGCTATCTGCTTTTCACGTTTTGTCTGTACGTGCAGCTAACGGCTTTGCTCACGAGCCTCTGCAGTCTCTGCAACAGGCTATGCTCGGTGTGTCCGTTTCTCCTTCCGCAGCAATGGAAGAGAGAACTGCTTTTGGCTACACTGCTCAGCCTTGGCTCGGCAGGGCTCACCGCTCTGGGACGTTTTGCCATGCTAATGCCGACACGCAGCGACGTGAACTGAAATCTATAACTGCTGAAGCGCTTGATCAAGAAAAACATGCTGAACATGGACATGCCGCTCCTGCAACTCCGCCGAGGCCGGCACCCGCTACGGAGCCAGACGTGCATCAGTTTCTTTCTCCTACGACAACTCGCCGGTACAGCTGGACAGAAGGGTGCTACTCTCCTGTGTCTTTCTTTGATAGTCCGCACACCAAAAGATTGAAGCTTTATCACGACACACAGAACCCGCCAAGTCTCGCTGCCGAATCTGTTGCTGCTGGACCTGAACCTGTGTCATTGCAAGACACACAGCTTGACGAAAGCGACGACCATGTTGCTGATGGTGTGAGAAGTGAAGGAGCCTATTCAGGCGCGTACTCCTTTTCGGACCGCGAATGGGACAATTACCAATTGCAGCTCATGCAGGAGCCTGAGGAGATCGAGGCTGCGCTGCAGGATTTGGACAGCTGTGCGTCTCATGGATGTCCGGTGCGCACAGTTGCAAGACAGGGCGCGCCTGCCGTCTCCAGGCCTGCAGGTCGCCACTTCAAGTGGGGGCATTGCCCCACGCACTCGCGCGCTTTGCGCCCCAAAGTGTGGTTGAGTGGACGTCGCAAAGGACAAGCTTGCTTGCTGTGCTCAAAGTGGTGGAAGTCCGATGCCGCAGGACGTCGCGACTGCTGGTACAATGTACATGTGACAGCCCAGATGGTTCGAGACTCCTTCCCTCGACATATGCAGGACGTTTACTTCTCCTTGCAGATGCGGCTGGCACGCGCTGGCAGGGACACTGTGACTTCTGCTGCGTGAAACATGAAGGGTCGAGGGTTCGGCTTCAAGCATGCTTGCAGACACTAGCACAGTCTTTCCTGTCAAGCCTCTTTTTGCGAATTGTACGTGTTTGCCACGGCTCCCTTCTCCTTCCTTGAAAGCTTCCAAGTTCAGATGCTGGACTTCGTCTGTTGTAATTCTCAAGACTGCTGCGCAGTCTGCAGGGTAAGGAGGCCTTTGTCGAGAACGCATGAAGATTCTAAGCCGTTGTTTTCAGTTTCAACCACTACGTTTGAACCCTGACGACATCAGCCTATAGTAGTGCATTAGTGCATCACTAGTCTGCAGCTGCTTCGGGCCTCCGGGGGTTCAGGGGGACGTTGACATTTGCGGGGTGCACATGTCAACCCAGCACTCTCTTGCTAGGCATGGTCTGCTCCTGTTGTGGAAGTTCTAAGCACAACTTGCGTGGCTGTCCGCTTCCAGGGAGTAAACGTCTGCGGGAACTCGCTGACGAAAACCGACGACTGCGCGGGGCGGCTCCGAACCCACAGGAAGGACGTCGACCACGAAAGTTTGGTGTTAACCAGTGGGGTTCCTTCGGCAGGAAGAACCAGCACCGCAAGCAAGCTTCTCTTGCTTACTCTGGGAAGCAAGCTCAACAGCTGCGGAAGCGGAAGGACAGGGAACGTCGACTCAAGACCTCTCCAATGCCCAGCAACCCTGCATTGGAGATCGCTGCTGTGGAAGAGCTGCAAAAGCTCGGCTTCCTCAACAGTTGCCCTCGTCGATGCCCTCATTGTCGTGGCACCTTGGGTCAGTGGTCTGTTAGAAATGGCGCAGAGGCCTGCAGTCTGTTGTTTTGAACTTGGTGCACGTTGCTATAGTTGGAACCCTCAACCCTGAACAGTAAACTTCCGTAAAGCCTCAACCCTGAACCCTAAGCCCTAAAACCCTAAACCCTAAGCCCTCCCTAATTTCCCAAGCACTAAACCCTCAACGTGATGCTGCAGGTGTATGTCCGCTGCGTTGACAATGATTGCCGCAGACGTGTCAACTTGCTCACTTTGCAGTCCTGGTTGCCAACCTGTGTTCGACTGGGCAGAAAGACCACTCCCTCCAAGCTCTTGATGCTCATCCGAAGCTGGGTGGCCACTGGCTTGGGCCGTGCCCCGTCCGCCTACAACTTGGCACGTGCAGCGGGGATGACCTTCAAGCCTGTCAAGGCGATCCTGCAGTGTCTCCAGGACCTGGAAAGTGCAGCAGGGCGTCGCCTCAACGACTCCCTCACTTTGCGTGGAACGGTCGAGGTCGACGCAACCTCTCTCAGATGCGTGCGTGTCTACAAGTCAACAAAGAGGTTTGCGACACCTGTGCGGACGTGGCTTGCCAAGCATCCGCACGCCCCAGTGCCAAAGTACTGGCTGCTCCACTACAGGCTCGTGGGCGCTGTCCAGAGAAGCGACAATTGGAAGCTCGTTGTTCGTCTCCTGGAACACAAAGTCGTCCCAGCTGCTGCGAAGCCTCCTCCGG